CTTTTCCGGGTAGAAAGCCATTTCTACCCGAAAAAGCTCACCGGAAGCACTGGCGCCGTCATCTTTTTCGTCAAAAAAAGATGGCGGCGTCCAGTTAATGCCGGTACCGGGCCGCGGCGCCCAGCTGATGCCAGTACCGGGCCGCGGCGTCAAAAAGGTTGGGGATCACTGCCCTAGAGGGCAGGAAGGCTTGCAGGTGGCTCTTGTAGCCAAGTGCAAGTGCAGTTACATAGGTGTGGGGTATGTGCTCCAAACATATACAGGAAAATGGTGAGAGTGGGAGTGACTTACAGGAGCAACTTGCAGTCTTCCATGCTGGCTTCCAATTACATTGGAAGTGCAAGCCAATTGCCAAACGTCCAGATTGTGATCATGTCACTGTGGGAGTTCTGGGAAGTCTGAAACTTCAAGGACTAGTCATAAATATCACTCACTCGGCACCATTGTAACTTTGAAAAGTTGTTGAAAGTAGTTGTTCACTGAGGATATGGATGGGTAATAAGTTTTCAAGGTAGCTAAAGCATTGCTGGGAAATTTGCACAGTAATACTTTCAAAACTGTATTATTTGAGATTCTTTTACCTTTGAATTCTTACTGTCAGCTACACATGTATGCGCAGGCACTATGGCATATATACATCCAGAGATGATAAATGTAAAGATTGCCAAAAATACAGTCAATGCTGGCTCAAGATCTTTATGTGAGAAGCTCCTGAAAGATACAATTATTTTAGAATGAAATGAATTAAACATGGCATCACCATGACACAACCTATCAAATGACAATATCTGGTTTGTTATTATCAAGTTCCTAACAGAGCTTAAAATACAGAGCATTACACCTGATTCATGGCAGCTGCTTCATGGTTTTCATCAGCATCTAATTAAAGTGACTCTCAATCTTTATAAATTATCCATTTGAGGGAAAACAAGCAAATATGCATTACAGGTTAAATACTGATCCAATAAGTTCTCTGTGCTAAAGACAATTTCATGGGGAAAAAAACTATGGTCACTAAGAGTCAATTCTGACTTGATAGCACATAATCAATCAAAGACAGTGTTTAAGATATGAAGTGAGAATAAGATTTTGGTGTATTTCTGCTACAGCTTTACATCAAGTGCGAGCAATCCCCTGGGACCTCCCTTCTGTCCATCAGTCTTCCTGTCTCTTCTGACTTTTTAATAAAAAATTACATAGGAAAATGAATGGTGCAAGGCACTATCTCCAGAATCGTATTTCTTTTAAGGAATCTCTTTGAACCTACAGAAGTCCCAGCTAGGATGGTAGATGCAGTAGCTCATTTTCTGGTGAATGGCTGTCACGTTTTATTGTAGGAGCCATTTTGTGCTGGACAGATCAAGTACATCTATTACATGTGCTCAAAATTCCAAAAAATATTTTAGGCATAAAACATTGTTCAGCCTCATCATAAACTTTTATGATTAAATAGCCTGCTGCTATGTCTGCTGGGCCATATGTGATCCCCAACCCTTACATAGGGCTCCCATATATAGCATATTTTTGCTGCAACCTTGTGGTAGTCTCAAGTTTTGCAATTCAGATATGGTAACCCAGTTGCCTTAATATAGATTCTCATAGTCCTTGAAGCTGCAGGAAAGTATGCTAGAATAACTTCGAAGCCCTGAGAGGTAAGTTCCTATTTGCCTCAGTGCATAAGGTTGTAAGTAGTCCTGTTTGTTCAGTTTTTTACAGACAATTTAGCAGCAACCATTTTTAAATGCCCCTGACCTTGTTTTTCTTCATAGTCAATGTCAACGGCTTATGAGGGAAAAATAATTACTCTCCTTAAATTTTGGTGGGATATGAGTAATTATGGGTAGCTCTGTGGTAGAATGCTTTAGCTACTTTTCAAGTTCAGATTCACTTAACTGCGATACTAACTTAACTGCAGTGATTCACTTAACAACTGTAGAAAGAAATGGGGCAAAACTCACTTAACAAATGTTTCACTTAGCAGCATAACTTTTAGGCTCAATTATGGTTATAAATCAAGGACTACCTGTATTTGTTTTTTTTAGCAAGCCAAGCCAAAATGGCCATAAGGTGGCCTATGACCTGAACCAATGAAAACTGAAAACTTGTAGTTGAGGACTGCAGTTTGTGACTCCATACATAAAATGGCATTCAGTTTACAATAACTCTATATGAGTCACTGGAATATACATGTCTAGAACTTGGGCATAAATAATTGAATTCTTCTTTTCAAACAAAAAAACCCCTATTAATTTGTTGCATTCTAATGTTTCTCAGCCATGTGAGCTGGCAATTATGGATGTCAATGTCTAATAAATATACAAAATGTTATATTATTTACCAGTTGCTTCTCCAAAAAAAGCCATTTTATTAAATATCTGCAATATATTAAAATTAGCCTTTTCATCAAATAGTTCAAGTAATATATATATATATATATTTGCTATTTAAACGTTCTCAAGGGAAGATCTGTAATTGTATTATAATTATTTAATTGCTAAAGGGTAACATAAACAAGCAAAATCTGTTTTGTAGAAAGCAGCTCTATTTACAATCATAAATATTTTAGATCTTATAAGTGGTCTTTTGTTAACTATCTCCACAGAGTACAATAATCCACACTTTTTCTTAGAATGATGTTCGATGATTTGGTTTTGTTTTCCTTTAGAAGAAATAAGATAACTTTTACTCTCTAGGGCCTTCTTTTCTAAATCCCTAGATGATATTAGCTTTGCACTCTACATAATTAAACTGCACTGCATATAATTACCAGACTGTTAGAAAAATACAAGATTTGGAAGACTCTTATAGCTGTGCATTTTCTTTCTTTCTTATGCATATGTACTGTATATTCCCAGGGGACCCAACTCTTATTTTAACCTCAATAACTGTCTGTAGTAGGATGGGATGAGAGATAATGACTAGCCTAAAATTACTCATGATCTTCATGATGAAGTGAGGACTTGAAATCTGATCTTTCTCTCCCCAGACTATCATTCAACCTTTTCTCATCTGGCTACAGGGACTGCAATCTCAGAATTCCCAGCTGAATTCCCTATGACTATACTATAGAAACAAGAAGCCATATCTGTTAAGTCCTTCCACCTGAATGCGTCTGCTTCTAATCTGTACCATTCTCAAAGGAGCTCTTGCTGTGCAACCGAAGCAAAACTTGACATTTTCGACTACAGTGAGTGCTTGTAAGATGGAAAGAGTAAGACAAAAGTTATCAGGATAAATTTCAGGCATATCTTTAATAAGACCTACAAATTATTTGGGAAATTGAAGGATTTGAACAATTATGCTGGTTGTGCGTGGCTGCATCTGTTCTTTTAAAAATTTCCTTATTGACCATCATCGATGGGACTTCCTAGGGTTACAGTCAAAAACATTGGAATAATGTTTTTATTATTATTCATTATTCAAAAAACTTGGTTAAGGCAATGTGTATGTACCTGGCCATATAGATATACTTTCTGGCTATGAATTTTTTTATTTATTTCGTCAAGCATGCATTTGATTTGAATAATCATATATGATTATTAATACATGAAATAGATACAAATAAAAGGGAACATTAAGACAGCAACAGTAGACACGTTGGTGCCTTTATGCACACCCCTTACAGACCACTTAGGAAAGGGGTGAGGTCAACAGTAGACAGTCTGCGGTTAAAGTGTTTGGGGTTAGTGGAAGAAACCGCAAAGTCAGGTAGAGTATTCTAGGCATTGACCACTCTGTTGCTGAAGCTGTATTTCCTGCCATTGAGTTTTGTGTGGTTTACCGAGTTTGTATCTGTTGTGTGCTTGTGTACTGTTGAGGTTGAAGTTGAAGTAGTCATTGACGAGACAGATTACCTCTGTGTACATGCAATGGGGAGCAGCTTGCCCTTTACATAATAACTTTATAAGCCCAGAAGTAGTCACCTGAATGGGCAGCCAAAAGTGGAAGTGTCAAACTGGTTGGGAAGGAAGGAGTGGTGGCAGCACTTTCCAGTCACCGAGATGTGCAACAGATGCAAAACAGAGTTATCTCACAACCGCAGTGCCTAAGGGAGAAGCCAGTTCAAGCTGAGGTACTTCATTCCAGTCAAAAATCTCCTCCACTAATACAAAAATGAAAGGGAGGATGGCATTGTTCCACTCAAACCTCTAGGTTCACATGATTTTTGCAAGTACTTTCACTGCTCTGTGCCAGCTCTTAACCAGTCCTTCCCATTGTTCCCGGTTCTCATCCAACGTGGTTATGCCGATTGAGAATGCTTAGTATTGGCAATACACTAGAGCAGGGGTCTCCAACCTTGGCAACTTTAAGACATGTGGACTTCAACTCCCAGAATTCCTCAGCCAGCTTTGCTGGCTAAGGAATTCTGGGAGTTGAAGTCCACAAGTCTTAAAGTTGCTAAGGTTGGAGACCCCTGCACTAGAGTACCTGACTGAAGAAGGCTCCTACGAAAGTTACAGGGGTATTTGTACTTGAGTCTTGGAGATGCTGGCGAAGTATAAGGAGAAAAGAGAAAGGCATCCTGTTCTCTAGCAGGGTGCACTTTAGCCCCCTTCCTAACAAACTTCCTTCTTTCCTTCTTCCCACATTTTGCAGGACTAAGCGCCTGAGTCGGTCTTGTGCTGGCCTACCGTTGTGGTCTTGGATTTGAAAGGGAAACCATTAACTTGGTCACACTTGTCGCTCCGTCTTCTCAACAGAGTCGCCCCGTCGTGGGTGCAATCGAGGCTGGGGGGGGATATAACTGGGAAGGTGCGAGCTTTCCCGAAGGTCCTCTGAGTCTGGCTTTCGGGGTCTATTTTTAAAAACGTTACATCCATTTATAGCTCAGGCAAACAAATTCGCAAGCCTTTAATCCCGCTCATCGGATTCCCTGAGCCCGACGTCCATTTTCTTTCTCCCGCCTACGTTGTCTGCCCTCCAGGCGTCAGGGCTTTTATTTTCTCAGGGCGGTTCTGGGCAGAGATCGGATGCGAGGAGCCGTCTCGCTGACTTCACCCCGCGCCTCGAATCGCCTCCCAAGGGCGCTTTTGCGAGGGAAGAGCATCGGAAAAGAGGACGGCGCCCATTTTTCCCGCCGTCGGGGAAAAGTTGTCCGGTAGATGTTCTGCAAGGGTCGGCGCAAGCAGTTCAAGGGCCGCCCGTCCTGCAGTTGACTCCTTCCCTTCCTACGTAGCTACTCAAAGCACCTGTAGCCCGTATCCTCCGGCTGGCCGTTCGCTCGCTCGCTCGCTCGCCCGCTCTCAGCATGGTGGATTTGTTCAACGGGCGGATCCTCGTGAACCTGGAGGGCGGCTTCGTGGACCCCGAGCAAGCTTTGGAGAACAAAATCGTGGGCTTGTACTTTTCGGCCGCCTGGTGCTCCCTCTGCAGAGACTTCACCCCCACGCTGTGCGATTTCTACAGCGAATTGGTGGATGTCGTCACTCATCCGGCCCCTTTCCAGATCGTCTTCATCTCGTCCGACCGCAGCCGGGAAGAAATGACGAGCTTTATGTACAAGATGCACCCGGGCTGGCTGGCCTTGCCCTTCCACGACCCTCTTAAACAGTGAGTAGGGTGCTAGAGTTGTTATAGTGGGGTGCAGTCAGTCGTTTGCTAGAGTTGAACAGGCAACTTTTCGGTCAGCTCCTCCGGTTTGGCGCCCTTCAGATGGCTCGGTTTACAAGTCCCATAATTTAAATGTTTTGACAGGGAGTTGTGGGATTTGTAATCCAGTCCGTTAGAAAGGAGCAAGAAAAGTACGGGTAGTCCTCGTCTTACGATAGTTCTTTTGGTGGCCATTCAAAGTTACAACAGCATTGAAAAAAGGTGATTTATGACAATTTTTCATACTTCTGAGCCTTAGCGGCATTCTCATAATTGAGAATGTTGATCCAAATTCAGATGCTCAGCAACTAATTTATGAGGGATACAGCATCCCTGGATGTGATTACCTTTTATGACCTTCGGACAAGCAAAGTCAATAGGGAAGCCAGGTTTACTGAACAATCTTGTTACTGTGATGGTGCAGTGATTCACTTAAGAACTGTGTCAAGAAAGGTTGTAAAATGGGGCCAAACTCAGTTAACAAATGTTGCTTAACAACAGAAAATTTGGGCTCAATTGTAGTCTTAGTTGAGGACTACCTTTACTTCAATTAAAACCACATGAGATGCAAATGAAGGGACTATGGGGAGCTGTGGCCAAAGTGCTTTAAATCAGGGGTCTCCAACTTTGGCAATTTTAAGCCTTGGCAGACTTCTCCCAGAATTCCCCAGCAGCAAGAAGCAATGGGTGGAAACAGATCAAGGAGAGAAGCAACTTAGATAGTTAGAACAATTAATCAGTGGAACAACTTGCCTCCAGGAGTTGTGAGTGCTCCAACACTGGAAGTTTTTAAGAAGAGATTGGATAACCATTTGTTTGAAGTGGTGTAGGGTTTCCTGCCTAGGCACAGAAGACCTTCAAGGTCCTTTCCAACTATTCTATTCTATTCTATTCCATTCCAAATGGCTGTTCCAAAGTTGCTTTTTCCAAAAAGCAACTGGACTTTCTTGTTTATTTTTCCCTTTGAGAACGTTTCACTTATCATCCAAGATGCTTCTTCATTTCAGAACTGTGTCTTCAGAATTGAAGAAGCTTCTTGAATATGAAGAGAAAAGTTTTCAAATAAAAAACAACAACTAAAAAAAACAACAACTAAAAACAACAACTAAACTAATTTTCGAAAAAGCACAACCATGACCTGGATGATTGAGAATCTCCATTGATTTTGAACGGCTGTTTTAACAAGTTCTGATCTAGTGTTTATTCATCATTCCAATTCTTCTTGTATCCCTTCTAGTCATGTACTACTTCCTTACTCTTCCTAAGCCTACAGCTCTCAGCGCTCTTCAAAGTTTTCTAACAAAAAAAGGACCCCATATCAGGGTATGATTCTGTCTCTACTGGAATAGCATTCAGAAGTAAATGAGTCTGTTGTGGTGCACTCATTTTATCATTTTTTTAAATGCCTGATTCTATACATGCATTTGTGATATTGGCTCCCTATAGTATGCGTCAGTGCTGAAGAGAAAGAATAAAATATGTGGCCATTAGCCAGAATTTAGTTATCTGCTCTTCAGATTCAGCTCTTCTGTTGGAAGAAAATAATAGGGAAAAAAATTAAAAATTGGCACTGAAGAAAGAAGCCAGGATGCCCCAGGCACTTGAACCAATAATCATCCAATACTTTCAGGCAATCATATAACACTCATTTAGTCAAGTCATTAACATTAGCCCAAAGATTTTACACTGCTATGTGGAGAGCTATTTTGTTGGTAGGTACGACAGAGAACTTGCAATCAGAAAGATTAATTTTACCCTTGTGCAAAATCTTATCAGAGGTAATAGCTCCTTTTAGCCTCCAGATTTTCCTACAGTGTGGGATACATTTTGAAGCTTCACAGCATGGAGAGCAAACCCGAAGTGCCTTTATTTGGTTCACTGTTCATTTGCCAATAAATGGGCATTGTAAAGAACAGCAGGGAATACTGTATTCTCTGGGGGATGTGGGGGATAGTTCCCCATTTTTTTTGCAGTGGGCATCATTCTTCATGGGATCACATTTACCAGATTAATAGTTCTCATCACTTTATAATAGTACTCTGATATTTATTTTGGTTGCTTTTAAATGTAGCACCCAGACTTTCCTTTTCCCCACTAGTATGGATATAGTAAAATGAAGGTTGCCTGAGAAATGATAAGCCTAAAAATAGAGAACAATTGACTATCTGATGAATTTGGCTGATGGCTTCTTTAAATCCAGAACCAAGCGTCATTCTGATTTGTAAAGTAATTTTCCTATAGAGCTCATCAATTTGAAGGCCATGTGTTGGCAATGGTAAGGTAGGACTAAGCCAGAAGTCATTCAGGTGCAATCTTCCTTTTCTCTTTGTTTTTCTCTGTTCTGCCTTTCCCCCCTGCACATCTCATCACTGCATAACAAGTTGTTTGCAGAAAGACAGATTTTGAGGTTGTTTTTTTTTACATACAACAAAACATTTCTTCATATTGTTCACATTTCCATCATAAATTCAAAGTGCCTTTATAAATTCTCGATTGCCAGGTGTGAAAAATCAGGACTACACATTAAGTTTAAGATGATTCATTGTTCATGCCTATACACAAGAATCTGGTCCACTAATGGTCAGCACTAACTTGGCACTAGATAAGAGTTTAAAGAAATTCAAGAGGGGTTGGTTTGTGGGAATGTAATCAGTCCATGTTGATGCTTCTCTTGACTCTACCCCCTTGCTCTAACCTGTTCTTCTTCTAGATAGATAACTTCTTTGGTGACAAATACCAATGGTACATCAATTTATCAAAATTCTCTTTAACATGAAAACACAGTGTAAATTTTAGTCCTTTCAGTCACACATTTTCCCATTGACCCATTTGTATATTGTAACTAATATTTTAGCCCGGTTTATCATACACTTTTTCACTTGGTCTTCTTCTGTCTCATATTTCAACAAAAAGTTATACATTTTGGCAACAACATGTTTATTGTGTGTATATAATTCTGTTTCAAACTTTGTTCAAAACCATAACATCTTGCTCACTGCAAATCTTTCTGATGCAGTGGAACCTCGGGTCACAACCGTAATCCGTTCTAGGACTTCGGTTGCAACCCAATTTGGTCATGACCGGAAGCATGACCATCTGTGCATGCATGGACACCCCCCCCCCCAGTGGCACCGAAGGGAAAATTGCCACAGCTGTGCCTGGTCGCCACCCAAAGATGTGTTTGTGACAAGAAGCAAAACTTTTCTGAAAATTCTGGTCGTCACCCAGAACCCCTTGTTAACTTTCTAAGCAGTTTGGATAACCGATAATTAGAAGAAATCTTGTTTTGTTTTTTTCCACCCTTATTACATTCTTGGCAGTATGCCTTGACTTACTGTTTCCGAAGATGGTTTTTTTTTTTTTTTACTTTCTTAAAGGGGAAGGGTTATTTTAAGCTTTTTACACTGCTGTTGGGAAGAGATACTTCCCTGAATATGCTTCAGCTACATGCAACAATCAGCACTTTGAAGAAATAATTGAATAACCAGAAAGGAGCTTTTAATGACAAGGAACCAAGATGAGTGACATTCAGCAAGGCTTCTTGGCTAGGTAGAAAGATTGACATTCAAACATGAGTTTACAAACCCTTTCTGAATTTTGGTCTAAAACTGGTTTTTGGTGAAGTTTAATTTTGTTCTTGGTGTTGTTTAATCCTGTGTTTATTGATGGGATAATTTTCCCTATTCGGCTTTGTTTGGAAGGAAAAAGGTTAATCTCTGTTCCTGGAAGTAAACTGGGTTGAGAAATCTGACTAGTTCCTATGTGTATTTGTTCTGGTAATTGGTTTAACAAGCAATAGCTAGTGTTGTGATTTAATTATTTGTATTGTGTTTGAATTTTTTCCTGCTTCATGGTTTCTTTTTCTATCTGGGGAGGAGGTCTTCCTTCACTGCTTTAGTGGTATCTGGCACTATCCTTTTGGGGTGTATTTCCAAGAGCAGGATGCAAGCTTGGTACTGATTTTTTTTAACTGCCTTTCTGGGGGGGCATGTGACTGTTCCTTAAATCTAGATGATTTCCTTAGGATATCTTGTGAGGTGAGTGAGACCAGCTGGTATCTTTAAGTGGTGCAAATGGTTCTAAGGATTGCTTTTCCTGGGTGTGCTCTTTCTGGAGAGCTTAAATGACCTCTCTGCTAAAGGGTTTCACTTTATGAGCTGATAGTTATTGCATTTTAACTATTTTCATTCCTCAAGGTGCTCTGGCGCCCTGCCTGATTTGTAACTCCAGCTTGCAGGTATTTTTAATCTAATGATTGGTATTTAGGGCAGCTTTTTACAAGCAAAGAAACTTTTTGTATTTTTGTACAGGTAATCCTTGACTTACAACAGTTCATTTAGTGATCATTCAAAGTTATAATGGCACTGCAAAAATGATTTATGACTGTTTTTCATATTTACGACCGTTGCAGCATCCCCACAGTCACGAGAAGCCAGGTGAGGAGAAGCACCCCTCAACGTGGGTGACATTGAGTTGGCCATGCCCACCGAGTCACATACCCACCAAGCCACAGCCACCAACTAAGCCATGCCCACAGAACCATTTGTTAAAAAATTTGAATCCCACCCCTGTCGTCACCCGATTTGGTCGCAGACAGACGCGTTCACAATTCCACTGTAATTGTACATAGGAAAATCATTGACAAGTATATCCTTCTGTTATCAAAACTTCTCTTGATTTTATTTTATATTCTGCTTGAGAAAATTCTATTACATGACAATAATTTAACCATTTATGTTTACTTATCATTTCTCATTTATAAAGTTCTTCTTGTGTTGTGACTCACAAAGTGTTTATGGGCATGAGCTAGATTTATATTTATTACACACTCTAAAAATGGTCTACTTGACACAATGATTTTTGAAATGTTACATTAACCTTTATTGTTTGTTATTCAGTTGTTAAGTCATGTCCTACTCTTCATGACCCCATGGACTAGGTGGGATGTCAGGATCTCTTGTCATACACTGTTTCCTGGAGATTGCCCAAATTCATATTTGTTGCATCAATGATACTATTTTTTCATCTCATCCGCTGCTATTCCTTTCGCCTTTTGCCTTCGATCTTTCCCAACAGGTTCTTTTCCAATGAATCCCATCTTCTCGTTTGGCGGCCAAAGTATTTGAGCTTCAGCTTCGGTATCTGTGCTTCCAAAGAACAGTCAGAGTTGATTTCCTTTATGCTGACTGATTGACTAGCCTTATAGTCCAAGCTCTCTCAAACGTCTTCTCCAACACCGCAATTTGAAAGCATCAGCTCTTTGGCATTCAGCTGTCTTATGACCCATAGCCATACATTACTACTGGGAAAACCATAGCTTTAATTCTGTAGAGTTTTGTTGGCAAGGTGATGGCTCTGCTTTTTAATTTGCTGTCTAGGTTTGCCATAGCTCTCCTCCCAAGAAGCAAGTGTCTTTTAATTTCATGGCTACAGTTGCCAGTGATTTAGAATGCAAGTAAATAAAATCTGTCAGTGCTTCCATTTCTTCCCTTTCTATTTGCCAGAAGTGATGGCACCGGATACCATGATCTTAATTTTTTTTTTTTTTAAGTTAAGACATTAACCTTAGCTTTGTCATACTATAGATATCCATGCCACCCAAAGCTCAGATTGTGTCCTAACTCCAAGAGCTTTATACTACAAGTTAAATAGTAGATAGCAAAATATAATTTCAAATCTGGTAGACCCAATCCTCCTCTTTCCTTTGCATCTTCAAATACATTATACCTAATGAAATACCTTGTATGGTGTTTCCCTGCCATACAAATTTAGATATATCCTGACATTTTTAAAGCGTACATCAGTTGTTAAAACAGGTATTATCTGAAATAAAAATAACTTTCTAGGTGAAACTTTCATTTTAAATCACAGAAATTCTCCCCAACAATGACAATTGTACTTTATCCCATGTTAATATGCCTTTTTAAACTTCCATTCCATGTCTAAAAATAACATCCAATTCTCATTTGTCATAATAATATCAAACAATTTTACCTTTTCTTAATTTTAAAATTTGTTTTATTAACAGAAGAGGAGACAATGGGTAACCTTGTCTTTTCCCTTTTTAAAAATCTTGGCTATTTATGCTATTTGTGAAATATAAATTTATTTCCCCTCTTTATAACATTTTCTCCAAAATTCTCTAAACAAAAAAGTTCAGTTTGTCAAAAGCCTTCACTGTATCTAAAAAAAATCAGTGCAGCTTGTTTTTCATTATGTTGTTCTAAATATTCTAAAATATCCAATACACTTCTAACATTATCCTTTAATTGTCATTTAGGTAAAAACCTACTTGATCCTCATAAAAAAATTCTTATAAAATTATGTTCAGTCTTTCAGCTAAATATTTTATAAACAATTTATAATCATTATTCAGTAACAATATTGGTCTGTAGTATCTTGCTAAAGTCAAATCTTGTCCTTCTTTAGATATTAATATTCATTAGCCCCTTTCCCAGTCTCTGCCATCTTTCCTCCTTGTAAAATAGAGTTCATCATGTTTTGAAGAAGCTGCAAAGGTTTATTCTCAAAACATACTGTAATACAAACTTGACAATCCATCTGATCCAGGCACCTTTCTTGATGTATTTTTAAGCTTTTCTTACTGTTGTGTTATGGTCCGTTCATAATTTGTCTTTGTTCTTCTGTAATCCTCAATTGACTTTTTTTTAAGATATTCACATATTTTCTCCGATGGAATAGCATGTCTTCTATGAAGAGCTGGTACTTTAATGTTGGTTCAGTGAAGTCCTGGTCAGTAAAGGACATGTACTTAAATTTTAGCTTATAAAAGAACCTCAGGCAGAACTATGTCTTAAGTTACTGCATAGCGAATTAAGCGCTAGTTAAACAGAAGCTTTTTGTAAAGATTGAGGAAAGCAGCAACCTAGATCAGATAAACAGAAGTTTGCCAGCAGATGCTAAACCACAGATAAGAGTCAACCACGGTAATTGCTAAAAAAACTACAGAAGCCCTAGACCATATAGAGGGGGCATTAGGTTGATGAAGAGATGTGGTCGGTAAACAGTTCTAAGAAATATTGCAAGTGGGCCCATTACTGAGAAATAGCTGACATTTAGCTTATAGCTATAGGCAGAATCTGGGCACGGGTGAGATCAGTACGCCCAGGAAATGATAAATAACCAATGAGTGTGACTATAACCTTGTGTTTCTTTGTGCGAAAAGAAAAAAAGCTAAAACATAAACCTGACTCTTGGGCTCCTCTTCCTTTTTGCTGAAGTTTACTGAAACAGTCAGCAGAGGGGCCCCCTTTGCTTCTGCACATAAATAAAGCAGAATTCCACTTACCTTGATTCTGTATGAATAATTGGATCATCAGGTTGATTAAAAATGCTTTTTTTTATAGCCGCATCATCCATTAATACATTTCCTTTTTGTAATTTCAATATCATTATTTTTTTTATTTTTGCAATTTATAAGCTAACTTATCTTGCAGGTCTTCATGGCAATCATGGGCTTTTAGATGTTTTCTCTTATAGCTCAGAAATATTCTTAAATCTCCTTGCATATATTAACATGATTAAGGCTACTTGAGGAACTGTCACACCCCACTCAGATTGGCCCTTCCCACTTTTGCCAGCAGAAGAGGCATGTTGTGGGTGGAGTCAGCTTCATTATTCCAGGTGGCGGGGTCCAGAAGGAGGGCCTTCTCTGCTGTTGCTCGTGTCCTCTGGAACGTCATGGGAGTTTGGTCCCAACACTCCTATCCTTTCCTAAGGGCCTCAAGACCTGGCTTTGCCAGTTGGCTTGGGACCCCAATGGTGGAACAGCACAATGGAGGGGGTTGATTAACAGCCAATCAAATCTCCTTCCACCCTACCCTACCCTGTGTCATTAGATTTGAATGCATGGTTTGAATTTATTTATGTTTTAATATGCTGTATAAATATATTTTTGATTGTAAGCCATCCAGAGGTGTCCTGTGATAAGATGGGCAGCCAGTAACTTTTATAAATTAATTAATTAAAATCTCCTTGCAGAATTTCAGTAATATTTCAGGCTGGAGACTGAGAAGGTTATTCTCATTTTTTTTTCCTTTCCGGGAAGTATTCATGGTAAGTTTGAAAGTACAGTTGCAAATATTTAATCTTTTCAGATTTAATTTCTTTACTGACAGTGGGACATTAACTTGAAAACTAAGATAATTTTATGCTAGAACTGCCTCCAAACTGGTTAGATATGCTGAATAGAACCAATAGTTCACTGCAAATAAACAGCTGTAAACTTTAGTGAACAATGGAGTAGTTATTCACAGATCTACCACACAGTATTTCATGTAACGAATTTGCATTGGGCAGAGTCAATAGAATTTTTTTTCTTCAATTTAAATACAAAATTCATTGTCTCAAGTATGCACAGGAAAATCCTGGCAAGTCTGAAACATTCTGCTTTGTACTGATAAAATTAAAAAATGAATCATTTGTGTACAACTTTTCAAGACATATTTGGAGAAACAAAGGTAGTTTTTGAAGAAACTAACATCTTCCTAATCATTAAGAACTCAGGTGGCTTGATTATGGTTTCAAAATCAGTTATAGACAAATGTCACAGTTACAAATGGAGACAGCCCTGGTTGTTCATTTACTTATATGCACATAGTAATGCCAATTTTTCCCTCTCTTTTCTTTTTACAGTGAATTGAAGAAGAAATACAACATAACAGCCATTCCCAAACTGGTGATTGTTAAACAAACTGGAGAAGTCATTACTGATAAAGGGAGAAAGCAGATTCGTGAGAGAGGGCTCAACTGTTTCCAGAACTGGCTTGAGGGGGCTGATATCTTTCAGAATTTTTGTACCTGAACCAAAATAGTATTTTCAGACTTAAACAAAATAATATCTTTGCTATCTGCAATTAGACTTAGAGGAGAAATTACATTCTCCTTTTTTAATGTTGACTTGCTTAATTTTGAATCCTACATGGCTGGAATAATTAGTCATATATGAGTCTTTCATAGTTTATATTGTCGCTATTTATATTTTTATTACATAGAAGAGACAAAAGTAGTCTTACTATTGAATTGATAAATTTGATTGATAATTGGTTATCAGATTGATAATTTGATTAAATTGCTAATTTATTTAATATGTCTATATTTAGCTCTTTAAAAGAGTGCTATCTTAAATCTATGCAAGCACATTATCTTCGCAAAGACAAAAAATTTATAAAGAAAATATAATTCTCAAAAAATGCAGTCTTTTTGCATGTAGATTTAAAATGTATATACTGGTATAATAAAAAAATAGTTTTAATAAATTTATAATTTAACTGTCTTTGCTTTTTGTGCAACAAACAATTGAAAACTTTTTGTCTAATGTTGTTACTTGCTAAAGCTTAATGTTTGGGGTACAACTACTCTTGATCATAAAATCAGCTGCATTGTTCTACTTGCAAGATTTTCATTCCTTTTACCAACTGGGATCGAAGGCTCTTCACCAAACTGTCTATATCAGCGTTTCTCAACATTGGCCACTTGAAAATGTATGGATATCAAGTTCCAGAATTTCTCAGCCTGCATGAGAAACACTGTTTTATATTTATTGGATTGGTTTATCTCTTCAAGGCTGAGTGATCTTTGACCAGATTGAGGAAGGCTGCACTGATGTATTATTGATGAAATTCAAGTAAATGGTAGCTTTTAGGTAACCTTGATTAATGTGGAAAAGTTGGATTTGCTTGCTTTTCACTTGTAGTTGGGGTGGTCTGGGACAACGATAGGTTACAAGGTAAGGGTATCACGACAAAGTGCAAATTTAGCCCTTTTTTTTTCATCTGTAGAATTTAGACTTTTACTGGGAAAAAAAGCTAGAAACATATAGAAGTTTGTTTCCAGTATATTTAACGGGCAGGAATGGGAAACCTTTGAAACATTCAGAGACTCACACAGTGCTGTGTGTTCTTGGTTGTTCATGTAAACCCATTTCACATATTGCTCATATCTCCTTTATACGATTGCTTTACAAACTACACCTGGAAAGCACACCATTCAGACTAGAGATGTGCAGGTTCAACTGGCTTGGAAAAACAGCAAGCAATTAACCTTCACAAACTAAGTTGTGTACCTTGCATAAAGATGGCTATATAACAGGTCCCTCACTCTCATAGCAATTTTGGGAGGTTACATTGATAGTAATACTTCTCTTGTAAAATTCATATCTCTCATGTTGTTGCTGATTAAAGGCATTCAAGATGACTGAATAAAATCCTTAAATAAAATATAGAAATGCATGCCTAAGGGTTGTTAATTTTCTTGAAATGCTATAGACCTGAAGTAAAACTAATATGTTTAAGCATTCTTTAAAAGCAATAAAACTACGCAACTAATGAAGAAGGATCTTGTTAGATGGTAATTATCAGCCCCTAGGTAAGGGTTGCTTTGGCTCACAAAAAAAAAAAATGCCTACTAGGGTGAAATATTTGCTTTTTTTTTCTTTTGTCAATCTTTAAACAATCAACTACTTTTAAATGCCTCTTGGTTTCAAAAACTGTGCCACACATCATCAGGGACTACTGAACAACCCAAAAAGAAAAGAGAAAAATCTAAAGCTTTTATTTGACTCCTAAAAGTAATTTTATAAATTCTGTGCAGCTGATCAATGTCTAATAAACTGATCATTTATGTAAAGTATAAACTCTCTTTATACTTTACATAAATGACCTTTGTGATCATGTTAAAAGCAATTGCATTCTTTTCGCGGATGGTGTAAAACTATTCAACACCACAGACAATGCTGCTATATTTCAAAAAGACTTTGACTATGTGTCAGAATGGTCAAACAAGTGGCAATTTCAAATCTCAACAAACAAATGCTCTGTCTTACATATTGACAAGAAAAATCAGAAAATAAAATACAAGCTGGATGGACAAGACCTTGTAGACAACCCTCACTCTGTCAAGGACCTTGGAATTCTCATCTCTGATGATCTAAGTGCTAGAGCCCACTGTAACAACATTGCCAAAAAGTCATTAACAGTTGTTAACCTAATCCTGTGAAGATTTTTCTCCAGTAATATTGTACTACTAACTGGAGCATACAAAACATTTGCTAGACCAGTTCTTGAATACAGCTCATCTGTCTGGAACCCACACTGCATATTGGGCATTAATACAATTGAGAGAGTCCAGAAATACTCTATGAGAAGAGTTCTGCACTCCTCTACTCACAACAAAATAACCTATGCCTCCAGATTTGAAATTTTAGGCTTAGATAACTTAGAATTATGCTGTTTTTGGTTTGACTTAAGCATAGTACATAAAATTATCCATTAAAATGTCCTACCCATCAATGACTATTTCAGCTTCAACCTCAATGCATGAGCACACAATAGATAAAAACTCAGGGTAAACCGCACTAAACTCGATGGCAGGAAATACGACTTCAGCAAAAGTGTGGTCAATGCCTAGAATATTCTACCTGACTGGTTTCTTCCACTAACCTCAAACACTTTAACCTCAACCTTTAACTGTCTACTGTTGACCTCATCCCATTCCTAAGAGGTCTTTAAGGTGCATGCATAAGCGCACCAACATGCCTACTGTCCCTGTCTTAATGGTCCCTTTTATTCGTACCTATGTCATGTATTAATAATCATGTTTTTACTTATATATATATATTATCAAATGCATGATTGACTAAATAAATAAATAAAAATTTTGTTATCGCAAAAATAACATGAAAGATCCCATAGATTTCTTGACCTGCCTGTGATACTATCAACCTTGAAGAATAAACCAGATCACAGCCAGATGAACTAGTTCTAATTTATTATAAAGCTACATTAAAAGAATTTTGCAAATCTGACAATACAATGCTCCCACCCACCCACCCCCGGCCTCCTTTGCAGCCCAAAAAACTAGAGAAACTTTCATCTGAGCCTCTTGCCCCATCCACTATCCAGCTGCAGGCTAGGCTTATATGACCATTCCCTTGGCAGCATCTCTGCCGAGTCTCCTAAGGTCTTTCTCACATATCATTATAGATAACCTTACAGTATCTGAGATAATAATGTTTCCTTTGAGACAAGCCCACATCTATGTACTTTCTTTAGCCACACTCTTGGAGCAGTTTGCAATTGCTTTCTTCTGAGATTTAGCTACCTCTGTGTGTTTTAATTTCTATACTAGCTAAAATCCTGATGGTCTCATATTTAAATCCAGCTCTATTTAGTTTTTTGAGATCAGCCAAGGTTAACTAGGGGTTTTCTGTTTTTACTAATTGTACACCAAACAAAATAATGATAAAGAAAAATAAATGAGTGTACAACAGGAAGCCAGAGCAGTAAAAACAATGTAATGCTAAATATTTGCATGACTATATTGGAATGCTAAAAATGCAAGGTAGTTTAGTTTTACAGAATTTGCAAAATTCAACATGTGATTAATTATACAATTTTCCAAGTGACTGATAGAATCTTTAATATTCCTAATTAACATGAAACTAAGACTCTGGTATTGCCAGATGCAAGCACCAGAAAATCTGGTGGACAGACTCAAGTAGATATTTAATTATTGTTCACCTTTATTACAAAAATCTAGCCAGATCATCCGTCTTCCCTTGGGAAATGGCAGATAGAGACCTAGGGATAGGACTCCAGACATTTTCTCTCCCGAACAGATTCTTAAGCTGGAATGTCTCTTTACTTCCCCTTCCCCTTCAGCCTTGCTTACACCACAGATACTAGTATATCTGTCTTGCTTCTGGTTTCAAATTCACAGAGAGAGAGAGAGTTATTATGGAAATTAACAGTTTATTCAAGATCAGGGAGATAACAGCAGACTAGGAATACAAACCAAAACAGTCTCTGAAAAGAGAAGCTTGTCTGAGTGGTTTTGCTTTTAGTGGCAATACACAGAAGAATAATCAAAATCCAGTCCAAAATTCGAAGAGCCAGATCAGGACTGTCATCTAGGCCAAAGATCAGATTTTCATATAAAAAACCACTTAAATATCACACAAGAACGGGAGATCAGACAGTGGATTCCATCAAAAGATCATGGGTCAGAGCTGCCTGTTAAACAGGCTGCAATCAACTGCCTTTAATCAAGAGATTTACTCCCTTGTTTGGTAAGCAGTCTTGTAGTAGAATGCTAATAGAATGTCTTTGCTTCACTTTACTTGCCATGTGAGGAAAGAGTGGAAGCGTGTCTTCATTCTCCGGCTGCTCCAGCTATTCAGGTGGCATGTTTGATTAACCTCAAGTCATTCTTAGCTTTGTGTTTCCTGAAACTCATTCCACAGGTTCTGCCCATGACAATAACAGATTTCTCAGGTCCAATTTTGCTCATGGCTTGGATGAACTGCCTGCAAGATTCATGTGACAGAATTATTTCTTCTGTCTTAAATTTATTTTATGTGTAATGCATAACAGTTGCCTATCCCTGCTGTAAAAAGAAATCAACCCCCCCCCCCAAGTATCCCAAATAAAATGTTAACTGTAAGGAAAAGCCTTAGAAGTATTAGCCATAAGAAAAAGCTTCAGAAAAGCCAAAAGACCGAGATGCTAATAAAAAACTGCCTGAAGTCTATTCCACATTCCAGCCAGCCATCTAAAGAAAACATTGTAACAAGAAACTAACTGCAGATTCTGGCACTTAAGGAGATAATGAGTTTATTGAAAGAGGAAGCCAGCTATCTAGATGGCTTCATTCATAAGCAGAGCAAATAGTGCCAGCAGAAGTTCATTCAGAATATTTTGAAACCCTTTCAATTTCAACAGCTAACAAAAACAGAGTGATAGGATTAGAGCAAGCAGCCCCTCACTCAAAAATCTAACACAGGACATAGCCATCAGACACAATAAGAATAACCCAACACCCTTTCAGAACACAAAGCCCATATTGCACAAATCCCCAACTTCAAAGTTACAGAAACTATAAAGATCCATCCACACATTCAGCCATTTGTTCAGCTGACCCAGAACTGCATCTTCGTGTGTGGTACTGTTCATCAATTAACTTTCTTTCCAATTAGCCTCCATGTTGTTTCCAGTGTCTTGGAACTGAACCAGCTTGGAACTGAACCAGATGAATTTTCCTTCCAACACTGCCAAAGCAATGGCAAAAGCAACCAAAGTCAAGAAATGAGAACACAAAACTGAAAATGGTTACATTAGAGCAGCAAAAAAAATATAAATCACTGCCACATTATGCATTCAGTGTGGGAATTACACAAACTCTATGCTTACTATATTTGTATATGCACAATGACTTCAATTTATAATCGCACTTTTATATCCATCAGGAATATGATATCCAAAAAGAGGTCCAAAAATAAAAATGGTGCCTTGACTACAATTGAAGTTGCTAAATGTGTTAATTTTTTTATCCTAGCTAGGTGTCCCTGGTATCCATAAAAAACTCAAAATGGCTAACAGTCAGGAAATATATGAACTGAATTGAAATATAAGAAAAGAGTTTTCAAAAAGTTTAAAAGCTATGAAATTTTGGGGAAAAACAGCATTATTTTAAAAAGTTGTAGAAAGTGCTCCTTTTGTGTTATCATGCACTGTGAATGGAACCTGAAGCACTCCATGGCTTTATTTATGTGTATGAATATATACATAAATACACCCAGACACAACACCCATTTTTAGGTAAGACTCGCTGGTTTATCTTAACTTGCTGGATAAAAACTAACCAGCTTTGGTTATTAAAAATGGTTAATTTAGAAAGATCTTTGAAAAATGAGTTAAAGCTGGGGTTTTCCCTCATTTTGTGAGCTGCTGTAGGTCCTCAGCTTGTCAAGCTAAAGACAAATATACCACTGACTGAGGGGAAAATTTATTACAGTCATCTTTCTCCTTGTTTTACTATGTAAGATATATATAATACAAATGTCTTGGATATAAAACATGTTTGATTATTTTTTTTGGCTTTAAAAAAATGACAAATGCTTTTCTGAGCAGACATAAATGGAGAGGGTTGGAGAGGTTGCAATGGAAAATACCCTGTCCCATAAATTGAAGCATATTATGCTGTTCTAACAACATGTATATATTAAATAATCTGAAAAGGTAGCTTTTATCTTTTGCTAAGTTCTGGGGCACCCAAAGGACATGGTGAGACCATAGAAAATCCGTTGTTTTTATTGCAACATAACAGAGTTTATTTCCCACCATTTTAAAAAGAGAAATTCACATAAATTCTCAAACTGTAGAAAGAGAATCTAT